CGCTGTGCCTTGCTGCCCCGGGACCGCGCGAGGCGGGCAGCGGCCGGCCAGCGGCGAGGGCAGTGCCACTCCCCATGGGAAGGATGCCGGTATGCATGTGCATGCGCGTATGCGTGTGCGTGTCTTCTTTTTTTTTTTCCGAGGCACACACACGTGTACACACGTATGGCCCCTCCCCGGCCGCCACACTCGCGGTTGCCACCACCAGAAGGCATGCGGTTCGGCCGCTCGGCGTGCTTGTGCCCCGCCGGCCCCGGCCACGCCCAAACCCGAGGCCCCGCACGCCGGGACTTGCCCCGAGACGAGCAACCTGCGGGGCATCTGCCTGTGTGGCATGACTTGTCCCCCTCCCCCCCGCCCCTCCTCGCCCTGGCCCGGGGGCACTCTCGCGTCGCTGCCCGGCGCACTCCGCGACACCCGACGCGGGGCCGTCCTCCCACCTCTGCCCCCCCCCCCCCGCTGCCTGGGCCACTTGCCTGCATGGCAGCCCCCCTCCCGCTCCCGCCGGTTGGGCCGCCCCTGTGCCCTCCCCCACCGGCCGTCGCCCCAGGGCGCGCACAGACGACCGAACGGCCCCCTCCTCGACCCGGCCGCCACATGAGCCCACGCGCAAGTCACACCAGCTACTTCTGCGCACCGCACCCGTGTTGCTCGGAACATTGTGGATGGGGCAGTCTATTCTCCCGAGAGGCACCTCACTCGCGCATGATCAAGGGCCGCGCGAGGGCACACGATGGAGTGGGACGTGCGTGCACAGGGGTGCGTCCGTGCAACACTGAGCGCAGGCACACATGGCACGAGCTGAGCGCGCCGTGTATCTTCTGTAAAGGGCCGCACAGGCCTACCGCCGCATCGGCGCATGTCGGGAGCGGGGGAAGGGGGGGGGGAGGGCGGGGGGCGGGAGAGGGGCCGTGTATGCGGATGGGCGAGGGACGGGTGGCGTCCGGGGAAAAAAGGGTGGCAATTCGGACCCGCCCGGCTCTCTCTCTCTCTCTCTCTCTGTCTCTCCCTCTCGTCTGCTCTGTCGGTCTGCCTGTCGTGCGTGCTCTCCCGACCGCGGTCGACCTCCGGGGGGCGTTGTCGCTGGGCCTCGGCTGGCTCCCGCGCGGGGTCTCTATCTCTCTCTCTGTCTCAATCGTTGGGCGCATGTATGTAGCCGGATCGGGGCTCGCTTTCCTGCCGTCACGCGTGTGCACGGGCCTCCCTTGTGGCCCTGCGCGCGGCCGGGGCGCGGTCGCCCGAGCGGGCACAGCGTGCGTTGAGAAGGCCCTCCCCGGGCCATGGTATTACTCAAGCCTTGCTGGCCTTGAAGTAGGCCAGAAGATCGCGCAAGACGTCGCGAATGTCGGCCAGCGCGTCGACAATGCAGCTGGTGCAGATGACTGTGGGCCGGCGGTGGCCGAGGCGGGGGTCAGGCGGGGGGTTGTCAGTTTTGGGTGGTCGTCATTCGGGTCCCCTGGAGAGGGGGGGTCTCTGTGCGTGGGCAAAAGGGGCCCGGGCGGCAATGAGGGCTGGGGGGGGGGGGGGGGGGGGGGGCGGTTGCGCGGCCGAGAGGGGCGTCGGCGGTGGCTTTCGCAGGCATGTGGGCCCATGAGCAGGCTCAGCAAGGGTTTGCATGGGGTACGCACTGTCAGAGAAGCTGCCGGAACCATGGCTGGAGGAGCTGTCTCCCTTGCCGGAAGAGGCGCTGCCGGGGCTGCTGCTGCCAGCATCCGAGGAAGAGGGCGAGGAGCTGTGGTCCGAGTGGCTGCTAGAAGCATGGCTGCTAGAGTCGTGGTGGCTGCTGGAAGCGTGGCTGCTGGAAGCATGGCTGCTGGAAGCATGGTGGCTGCTAGAGTCGTGGCTGCTAGAGTCGTGGCTGCTAGAGTCGTGGCTGCTAGAGTCGTGGCTGCTAGAG